ATTTATAAGAGACTTACCCATCAGTTCAAAAGGACCTAAGAATCGTGAAAATAAAAGTTAAATTAATAAAGTTTTGAGTAAAGCATTCAATGTGTTTACCCATAGGATATCCGGCGCCCAATTTCATTGCAGTGTCGATGTCCCGGGCCGTGGCGTCTCCTCTCTCCCTACAAATGCAAACCAATTTACGGAATAAATAAAATCGATAAACAAATTATTAAGATAATCATTACAAGAGTCTGACGGCTTCCTGCATGTATGGCACTAACAATCGGTTCACAATAAATCCCGGCGTATCCTATGTTTCAATTCAATTGTCATATTATTTTCTATATTTTAGTTTACGGTAAATTGCAAATTAATTTCGACCATACCTTACAGGCGACACCCACTTTATCCGCATCTTTGACAAATTGTTGCAACAGTTCAAAGGTTTGCTCATTAGTTCCCTGGACTTTGACGATTTCCACGAGTTTCATGAGTGGCACCGGATTGAAGAAGTGAAGTCCTAATTGCATAGACAGTCACACAAATATGAATTAGTTTAATATAAACATGAAATCAATTTGTAATAAAATTACCGCCAAATCTGTCTTTGCAATCGACATATTTGCCGATTTCATAGCATGGAAGCGAAGAAGTGTTGGTCACGAATATAACCGATTTGTTGTCCTTAAAGCTCTCACTAAAATGTTAACCGGGTATTTTATACTCATTTAAACTTTATGTCCATTTCATCTACTATTAGATAGTCTGCAAACAAACCACAATTCTTTGAATATTCTCTGCTTTGGTTCCAATAATTCCGGAATCGCTTCGATAATCAATAGATTGTCTTCAGATTGGGGTTTGCGTTCAGTGGACAGTGTTATACGACTGACCACTTCGTTCACATCACCGATGTTTGCTTTAAATATAAAATTAGTTTCAAATTAATATGTGATAAGCTTTAAAATATTTATAACTTTATATATATTTGAGGTCACTATCTAATCGATTATAAAACACGAAAAACTGTATTTAATTATAAATAAATAATTATATAATTGAATGGACACGAAATGATTGTAATCTTATCACTAACTAAACCATAGAGTACTTGAATGGCATTCAGGTTTGGGTTAATCGGAGTTCAAAACAATTCAAACATTTCTCACTGAATCCTACTTTCATCCAAATGTGGATTCAATTATAAATGAATGGACTCTTCAATCGTTTATAAATACCGGTAATCACTATATAATTCATTAACTCATAACCGGGTCATCACTATCCATATACCACATCCCTTCCCATCCATGCCATACATACACTGGATATGAATATATGATTTAATTGTAAAACTAATTCAATGAGTAGTTTATAAGACAGAGATTGTCTTAAATGATGACCAAATCACGTGATATACTCTATGGTAGCGAAAGAGATGTCAAATGAATGCAAACCTTTCTTCTTCTCTTTAATATTAGTGAGACTTTGAGTGATACGAGTCTTGGCTTTAGACAACTGATCCTCAGAGATGTCTTGTAATGTGATTGATTTGAAGCGATTAGTGGTGGCACACGACTGGGCGATACCTGACATACATTGCCATCAAAGCACATACCAATCAAATCAATCGATTAATAAACACGTGTCTTAAGTAGTGGTCAGTGATCGGTGACATACCTGAGCCCATAAGACCTGATCCAATGATCAGCACATTCTCGATGCGATTCATGGGTGATGTCTGACTGAAACCTCTGATCAACAGTTGATGTCCAGTGATATGTCCACTGAATTGACCACTTTTTGTCAGATTTGTGGCTAAAATCTGAGGCAATCTCAGTGTTTGTCGTATTAATAGTTTAGACATTATTTTCAATTCAATTCAAAATGTCTTACAATTAATGACTTTATATAATGACTATAATTACAGTTATTAGCAAAAAGTGGGGAAAATTGATAACAAAATA